GTGAACGGTTTTAGAGTTCAGCTCTGGAAAAGAGCACTACCATCAATTTCAGTCAAAGTCGAACTTGTTGCCATGGAAACGCCAAAAATAATTAAATCAGAATTCCAAAACTACCAAAAGGCACCAGTACACCACCAGATCCATGTATCTGCCAAGTTTGGTGATGAAATAGAGAACGGTTTTAGAGTTCTGCTCCGGAAAAGACAAATGTGCACGGACGGACAGACGGACGGACGGACGCACGGACAGAGTCCATTTTAATACCCCCCGCAAAACGCGTTACGGGGGATAAAAAGTGATCCTGTCATGACAGTCAAGATATTCTATCAATGTGATCTTTGTACAGAGTGTGGTACCTACATGGATGATCTGCAAAACTAGGTTCCACGTCAATGAAGTCTTCTGGAGACAAAATTGGTGATGGTTACTAACAATACATTTCAACTGTATTTAAACAGCAATGACATATGGTAGTTATTACATGAATATATACAGTAAAGCTGGACAAGACTTAAACTGAAGGCAGTTCATGGGAAGCAGCAAGTACGAAACACACTGCAGCTCTCTGGAATTGTCTGTTGATGTTAGTGAGTCAAATTGGTCTCACCTCCATTACATCCTGTGCTAAAATGTTCTACTTTCCCCTGAACAACAGGGAAAGGAACAGATGCAACATGCCACTTGATGTTTAGTTTAAGTGTCCTTTTCAAACACTGCATATTCCTTTCTTGCACAGTCATAAGAACATTGATGAAGGATAGATGTTAAAGTTGAGTGGTATCTGTCCATTATGGTAGTGACACAGGTAACATAGAAAACACAGGTGACACAGGTGACACAGATGCAGTAGGGGTTGATGCAGTTACATGAGTCAACTTGACTGTGGTTAATTTACAATTTTGTTCTGTGCAAATATCTTTGATAGCTATTTTCCTGTCACAACCACACTTGCCAAACTGATTTTGTATGAACTGTAGTAACATCCTGACATATGATTGTGTCTTGGATCTGTATTTGTTGTAATCATAACCAACAATATTCGGGTTGAATAGCAAGATCAAGAAGTTATATCAAATGATTCTCCAAAATATCCTAAAATTTCAATACCTTGAGCTCTTTGAAACACATATTTCACAAATTCTTTCCATCATCCTTTCCAAATGTGATTACTCCTGACAACATTTACTAACACGGGTTGATGTTTTGCTTGCTATGTTTTCTTGTAAACTGAGGCAATATTTATACTTACTGCACAATTCAAAATGACTAGTTATCCATGGAATACTAGGATTTGTCACAATCTCTGCAAGAAAGATCTTTCAGAAATTCTTTGTGCATCATAATCACTTCTGTGTGCAGATATTGTCTTTGCACATATGCTATGTAACTGTAACGATGTTTTTGAAACTGCTCTAATATGGAGGTGGTATCAGTGTCAAACACAAACCATTTCTTCAGAGATCTGTTATTGCTTTTTAGCTTTGATGATGCTCCACTGGTGAGCTGGTACCAGGATTGTGTGACAGACCCCTTTATTCAGGAATCTTCTGGTGTCAGAATCGAGCTAGTTTCTCCTACTGAGCTTTGCTTACAATGCTCCACAAGTTAGTTGGTACCAGTATTGGGCAAAAGCTCTTTATTCAGAAATCTTCTGGTGTCAGAATCGAGCTAGTTTCTCCTACTGAGCTTTGCTTACAATGCTCCACAAGTTAGTTGGTACCAGTATTGGGCAAAAGCTCTTTATTCAGGAATCTTCTGGTGACAGAATCGAGCTAGTTTCTCCTACTGAGCTTTGCTTACAATGCTCCACAAGTTAGTTGGTACCAGTATTGGGCAAAAGCTCTTTATTCAGGAATCTTCTGGTGACAGAATCGAGCTAGTTTCTCCTACTGAGCTTTGCTTACAATGCTCCACAAGTTAGTTTGTACCAGTATTGGGCAAAAGCTCTTTATTCAGGAATCTTCTGGTGTCAGAATCGAGCTAGTTTCTCCTACTGAGCTTTGCTTACAATGCTCCACAAGTTAGTTGGTACCAGTATTGGGCAAAAGCTCTTTATTCAGAAATCTTCTGGTGTCAGAATCGAGCTAGTTTCTCCTACTGAGCTTTGCTTACAATGCTCCACAAGTTAGTTGGTACCAGTATTGGGCAAAAGCTCTTTATTCAGGAATCTTCTGGTGTCAGAATCGAGCTAGTTTCTCCTACTGAGCTTTGCTTACAATGCTCCACAAGTTAGTTGGTACCAGTATTGGGCAAAAGCTCTTTATTCAGAAATCTTCTGGTGTCAGAATCGAGCTAGTTTCTCCTACTGAGCTTTGCTTACAATGCTCCACAAGCTAGTTGGTACCAGTATTGGGCAAAAGCTCTTTATTCAGGAATCTTCTGGTGACAGAATCTAGCTAGTTTCTCCTACTGAGCTTTGCTTACAATGCTCCACAAGTTAGTTGGTACCAGTATTGGGCAAAAGCTCTTTATTCAGGAATCTTCTGGTGACAGAATCGAGCTAGTTTCTCCTACTGAGCTTTGCATATACTTCAGAAGTTAGTTGGTACCAGTATTGGGCAAAAGCTCTTTATTCAGAAATCTTCTGGTGTCAGAATCGAGCTAGTTTCTCCTACTGAGCTTTGCTTACAATGCTCCACAAGTTAGTTGGTACCAGTATTGGGCAAAAGCTCTTTATTCAGAAATCTTCTGGTGTCAGAATCGAGCTAGTTTCTCCTACTGAGCTTTGCTTACAATGCTCCACAAGTTAGTTGGTACCAGTATTGGGCAAAAGCTCTTTATTCAGAAATCTTCTGGTGTCAGAATCGAGCTAGTTTCTCCTACTGAGCTTTGCTTACAATGCTCCACAAGTTAGTTCGTACCAGTATTGGGCAAAAGCTCTTTATTCAGGAATCTTCTGGTGTCAGAATCGAGCTGGTTTCTCCTACTGAGCTTTGCTTACAATGCTCCACAAGTTAGTTGGTACCAGTATTGGGCAAAAGCTCTTTATTCAGAAATCTTCTGGTGTCAGAATCGAGCTAGTTTCTCCTACTGAGCTTTGCTTACAATGCTCCACAAGTTAGTTGGTACCAGTATTGGGCAAAAGCTCTTTATTCAGAAATCTTCTGGTGACAGAATCGAGCTAGTTTCTCCTACTGAGCTTTGTTTACAATGCTCCACAAGTTAGTTGGTACCAGTATTGGGCAAAAGCTCTTTATTCAGAAATCTTCTGGTGACAGAATCGAGCTAGTTTCTTCTACTCAGCCTTTTGGACAAAGCTCCATTGGTGAATCTGTACCAGTATTGGGTGAAAGCCCTTCATTGGAGAATCGTCGGGAGACAGAATAAAGCTAGTTCTTACAATTGAGTTTTGTTGATGATGATCCACTGGTGAGTCAGTGCCATTATTAGATTAAAGCTCTTCCTTCAGGAATCTTACCGGAATCAGATTTTGTTACTTTTTCTGAGCTTTGCCGACAATGCTCCACAGGTTGGTTGAGTATTGGGTGAAAGACATTATTAGGAATCTTCTGGTGTCAGAATGAAGCTAGTTCGTTCTACTGAACGTTGCTGATGATACGCCATTGATGAGTCTGTACAGGTATTGGGTGAAAGACCTATATTCAGGAATCTTCTGGTGACAGAATGGAGTTAGTTCTTTTAACTTAGCTTTCTCGATGTTGCTCTCTGGTGAGCTTGTATCAGTATTAGTGAAAGCCCCTTATTCACAAATCTTCTTTAGGCAGAATGGGTCTGGTTCCTTCTACGGAGCCTTGTTGACTATGCTCCACTGGTGAGTCAGTACCAGTATTGGGTGAAAGCTCTTCCTTCAGGAATCTTGCTAGAATCAGATTTTGTTACTTTTTCTGAGCTTTGCCGGCAATGCTCCACAGGTTGGTTGAGTATTGGGTGAAAGACATTATTAGGAATCTTCTGGTGTCAGAATGAAGCTAGTTCGTTCTACTGAACGTTGCTGATGATACGCCATTGATGAGTCTGTACAGGTATTGGGTGAAAGACCTATATTCAGGAATCTTCTGGTGACAGAATGGAGATAGTTCTTTTAACTTAGCTTTCTCGATGTTGCTCTCTGGTGAGCCTGTATCAGTATTAGTGAAAGCCCCTTATTCACAAATCTTCTTTAGGCAGAATGGGTCTGGTTCCTTCTACGGAGCCTTGTTGACTATGCTCCATCGGTGAATATGTACCATTTTGGGGTGAAAGCCATTTATTCAGGAATCTTCTGGTGTCAGAATAGAGCCAGTTCTTTCTACTGAGCCTTGTTGACAATGCTCTAATGATGTGTCAGTACCTGTTTTGGATGGAGACCCTTTCTTCAGGTAATCTGCTAGTATCAGATTAGAGTTGGTTACTTTCTCTGAGCTTTGCTGACGATGCTCCACTGGTGAGTTGGTACCAGTATTGGGTAAAGATCCTTTATCAGGAAATCTTCTTGTACTAGATCAGAGTTAGTTACTCTCTCTAAACTCTGTCTACAATACTCCACTGATGGGTCAGTTCCAATATTGGGTGAAAGCCCTTTCTTAAGGAAATCTGCTGGTATCAGATTAGAGTTGATTACTTTCTCTGAGCTTTGCTAACAATACTCAATTGATGAGTGTGTACCGGTATTAAGTGAAAGACCTTTATCCAGGAATCATCTGGTGTCAAAATGAAGCTGGTTCACTGAGAATGGTCCACTGGCTTCTTAAAGTGGCATTTCAAACTTAGCATGAACAAGAGGAACAAATTTTAACTTCTTAAGTGTAATAGACCAAAATGTCTCATCCATTGCAATAAAGGAGTTGTCAAAAAAATAAAGTTGTTCCTCTTCAATGCTCCATTTGTAAGTCAGTACCAGTATTGGGTGAAAACTTCTAAAGCGTTATTGACGATGCTCCACTTGTGAGTCTGTACCGGTATTAAGTGAAAGCCCTTTATTCAGGAATCTTCTTGTGTCAGACTGGAGCTCGTTCTTTTTACTGAGCTTTGATGATGATGCTTCAACCTTGAGTCGCTGCCAGTATTGTTGGGCGAAAGCCCTTCATTCAGGAATCGTGGTGACAGAATATTGAGCTTTGTTGACAACGCTCAATTGGTGAGTTGGTACCAGTATTGGTTGAAATACCTTTCTTCAAGTAAATCAAAACTGAGCTGAGCTTAAGAGCTGATCCTGGATCAGAGTCACTTTGTTGCCCTTTCTTAAAGAATCTCTTGATAATATTTGGTGGTGTTCATATCAAACAAGAGTGAGGTCTGTTGTCATTTCTCTTGTATAGTCATAGCAATGACATCCAGAGAAGATTTTAGAAGACGACTATCTGAATTCAGCCTTTCAGAAGTCAGGCTGTAATTGTTTTGAAATGTTAAGTGCAACCCCTTTGGCAAATAGTTCAAAGAGAAGGGCTGCTTTTGACATGTCTTGACATCCTGCCATGTGTATGCTGCCTTACAGTTTCAAGTCTTCAGCACTTCCTTCATGGAAGGTACTCCTTATGAAAAGGTCACTCAGAATTCAAAATTGAAGTCATAGATTCTTTAGACAGCTTTTCTTCTGAACAAGGAAAGGGGCTATCAGATAATATTCTAATATGTAAATCCAAGCAGCAACTGGTATTCAGCCTTTAGTTTGGATGGTACTCGAAAAGTATGAAGTAGACTTATGGCTCTTATTGCTCCAAATCGATAACCTTTATAGGGGTAACAGTTTAGATTTATTTACTGAATATTATTTATTTCCATATTTTAGAACATTATTCCTCTGAATCTGTCTGACATTCAATTCTGAATTCCTTCGGGAGTGAGATTTCTTGAGAGTGATCCAGAACTATGAAGTGCACATTCTTCCATTCTGAAAACAAATAAAATAACAACTATAACCGTGTTTGCATTACATACAAAGACAGAAGCAGTTCACCTTTGCCTGAATGCCTTAAAATGTACAGCAGAAATATATGTCATGAACCTTTCAATGGTTCCATCAGGTTCAATATATTGGACATATGAAAATATTTACTTCACACCAAGTGACCTTGACATTTAACATCATCCAATCACATGCTAGAACTGGACGAATACTTGGGTGGTGATACAAATATTGAATATGATGACGTCTCTATACCCTGTTAACAATACATCCTGAAGCTCTTGATATAATCATGAAAGAAGATGTGCCGTTCCTTACTTAGGGTTTAAATATATTGTTCCTAAATTTGAACCATGCATCGTAATTTGACTTTACATGGAGGTCAATTGAAAGTTGATATGATTGAAACCCTGACTTAAACATCATGCATACCAAATTTCATCAATTTCCACTAAAAATTATGTGGATACTAAGGAAACTTATGTACCAATTTTTATCTATAACAAATAAAACCCGATATTTTGCTAAGTGTTTTTACAGTGATTTCCAACTTACAAACATTGTGTACATGGTGACAAGTTTAAGTAAATTCCACTCATGAATACGTTTTGTGCACACAAACTAGTTTAAACTGTGTGACCTTAACCTTCAACATCATCTAATAACATGAAAGAAATATATCAGAGGCATGAAGTCGGTTATATATGTGTTTGAAAAACAACAACAATTTTAACTTTGAGAGGGAATTGCTCAGTAATTTTTACAATTGTTAACCTAGTAATCGGGAGCAATCAGATGTCAAGAAAAGATGACTTTGTTGATCTGGTGAATCATGCCTTAATTAATGCTTGCTTAATGTCACACCCAGTAATGGTTTAGTCCTGACCAATCAGCGCCCCGTTCCTCAAAGCAATCGTAGCTACAATCAGTTTATGATCAACTTTACTTTATTGTAAATAAGAATGTATTGTCGTTCCTCAAAGCTATTGTAAGGGAATTGTAAGTATCGCGATTGTAATTCTTCCGATCATAAATTACAATTGTGATCTTCTGCACGAAAGTTAGACATAATGCGTTTACATAACTTCCAGTAGGTGCGAGTTGCTTCCCCTTTCAAGCAGACGAAAAATAATCCACCCTTAGCAAGATATTGCAAAGTAATTAAAACCTTACTTTCTACGGATAGTGCATGTAAACACTGGGAGTCCGAGGATAACCCAGGTTCTAGCATGTTTACCAGCTTCAGAATAGAAGACCTCGTCATTCTGTACCTTGAAAATATTTCAGCGTCATTGTAAACATCAAGAACATGACAACGGTCTCAAAATATCCTCTCAGGGCCAAATTTCTGTCTCCTTTGTTTATGAATTACAACAAACACTGCCATCTTGTTCATACACAACAATCGATCGTAAGGAAGTTACAGATGGTCATAAGCATTTTACGGAATTGATTGTAACTTACAACTATTGTAACTTACAATTGCTTTGAGGAACGGTGGAGTGATTGTAAGTTAAAGTTACAATTGGAATGTAGTGATTTACAACTATTGTAGTGTTACAATCGCTTTGAGGAACGGGGCCCAGATTGTGTTATTCTCCTCATCTGACCATCCAATCCACGTTTTTTATTTTTGAAACTAAAATGCTTCAGTCTTGCAATGCTCCTGACAGTATCCTAAGGACGTATCAAAACCCACATGATGCAGACACAAGTATCAGGTCATTGAATGGCATTTAGGACTTAAACACATAATGAGACTTTTTAATGGATGTCAACTTCCAAATGAAGATCTTGACATCCATAAAAATTCTCTTCCTCAGACACAAGTATGTCAGGATGAGATTTTCGATTACATATTTTGGATGCTGCTACTGTTACTTTGAAGCCACCATCAATGCAACGATTGATAAATAGAGTTGTATAAACTCACTGCTTGATCAATTCTGTGTTTTCTTCCACCCAACCAGCAATCTGTCTGCTTTCTTGCATCAGAGAACGAATCCTAAAACATACAGAGAGACCTTGACAACTGAAAGATTAGACAGTTAGTGCTTCAACAATTACTATGAAGAGTTGAGCTCAACTTTACAGCTGAGCAAACTCTAGGAACAGCTGCATTTTGCCCAACTTGATGTATCTCAACACATGTTTCTAAAACCAAATTTTTAGTGGGTTTCAGCTTCAACTAAATGATGCTGATTGAAAACTAAGCAAATATTGCAATACATTTCACACATGTAAGTAAACCCAATTCATTCTCATTGAATAAAGTTCCGGTTCAATCCCATGCATACAAAGATAAGATATGTATAATAATAATAATAATAATAATAACAAGTAAAACTAACGGAAACTAGAAAATACATTTCCTGGATAGAGCAGTGCCTGAAGTTAAGATCATCAGGGAGTCCAATGTCAAAATGGCAAAAGGCAATTTGGAGAAAATTAAAATTACAATACAAGACAACAAAAGAAAAGGTACTTCTCCAAATTGTCGATTCCCTTAAGGCCAAAATAAAGATTTGGACTGAAAGAAAGAATCAATGGGAAAAGAAAAATAAATTCATCAAACAAAATAAACTTTTTAGAAATAATGAAAAGCACTTCTACAGGCAACTGAAAACAAAGGGTGATGGTGAACATGACAAACGGCCTCCGATGGATGCCAATGATAGGTTCTGGAAACAGTTGTGGTCTGTACCCGGCAACTGTAACCTTGAGGCACCATGGGTCCGTGACAATGACCATGCAATGCATGAGAAAGTAACTCGGTTGTTTGTCTGTTATATCTCACCAGATTGCCTGAAAAGTGTTATCAAAAAGTCCAAATCTAATACAGTTCCAGGGCCTGATGGCATTCGAAACCAGTACTGGAAACTGTTCTCCTGTGTCCAAACACCATTACTTCACTGTTTCAATTCTCTCGTGGACACAGGTGATGTTCCCCCATGGTTCTGCAAAGGTCGCACAATACTCCTCCCCAATAAAAGGAGACTTGACTGATCCCTATCACATGTTTCAATACACAATACAAAATATTCACAGGGTGTTTAACAAACCTCGTGTCATCTTACTGCTCTTCCAATGATATAATTTACAGAGAGCAGAAGGGGGCAAGAAAGGGATGTTGGGGGTGCAAGGATCAACTTCTTGTACAGAAAATGATTTTGGAAGAGGCTAAAACATATCACCGCAACCTCTCCATGTGCTGGATTGACTACAAAAAAGCATACGACTCTCTCCCTCACGAATGGATTCTGAAGTCTCTTCATTGTATTGACCTCCCTGAGCGACTACTTGATTTACTCAAGTCTTTAATGAGTTGCTGTCGACTCAACTTGAGATGTACTCGCAAGGGCAGGTGCAGACTTCGGAATCTATTCCAATCAGAAGGGGTATATTTCAGGGGGATTCCTTTAGTCCTTTGCTTTTTTTCTTAGTCTTTAAATCCTTTGAGCTTTCTGCTCAATAAACAGGAGAGTTACCATCCCGGACCTCCTCAGCACAGATCCCCAACACCTCTTACTCATCTCCTTTACATGGATGAAATCGAGCTCCTTGCCAAAGGAGATTCCAATTTGAAAGAGCAGGTTCTCCTTGTCGTGTCCTTTTCTAATGATATTGGCATGACATTTGGACTCGACAAATGTAATACTCTTCATTTGAAACATGGCAAGGTAACTAATGATGGATCGGTCAAGTTTCAAGGGGGAGGAGTTATTGAACATCTTGTTGAAGATCAGGCCTACACCTATCTTGGAATGCAAGTTCGAGACAAGCTCTAGAATGCCTGGATTCAAGACAAACTTCGGGCCAAGTATAAATCTCGCCTAAAGAAAATCGGGAGCTCACAGCTAAATGCTTGAAAGTCAAAGCCACCAATACTTTTGCTGTGCCAGTCCTCTCCTATTCCTTTGGAGTAGTAGATTGGACAAAACAAGATATCCAGAGTCTTGACCGCCTGACCAGAAGGATCGTGTCTGATAACAGAGCACACCACCCTCGTTCCTCTCTTAATCGTTTATATATGCCAATCAATTCTGGAGGTCGGGGTTTGATTAATGTGCAAGCTCTTCACGATAAAATTTTATTGTGTACTTTTGCACATATCTATTTATCGGATGATCCTCTGGTGATGCATGTGAAGACTCATGATGAAAGCAAGGAATTCCACAGCTATTTTAAGCGTGCCAAGGTTGTTGGACAGAACCTGAAACCTGAGGTTGATTTTGTTGATGGCGATGTACTGCTGGGCGGTACAGCGATGGGAGTAAACCAGGTGAAGTCCTTCACCAAGTCTGCCCAGAGTCGGTCTTTTGTGGAGAAGCTTTCTGAAAAGCCATTGCATCATGTGTACATGCAGTGTGTGGAACAGAATAGCAATCCCACCGACTCCTTCGCCTGGATGAAGTCGGCTGGTCTCAAATGTGAAACTGAGGGCTTCCTTTTTGCTGCTCAGGACCAGTCACTTCCTACACGCAATCGCCTCAATGTGATTCTTAAAGAAAATATTAACATTAAATGCCGACTGTGTAATGAATTTACAGAAACTGTCCAACACCTTGTCAGTGGATGCCCTTCCTTGGAACAAACAGCATATCTAAAGAGACATGATGGCATGGCTCGCTGCTTTTATTACCGTCTTCGCCATGCCTGTGGCTTTGACTCTGAGGTCAATCCATGGTCATCCCCTGAACATGTCCAGGGTGCCATGGAAAATGATGCTTTCAAACTTTTGTGGAATAGGCCGATATACAGCCTTAGAAGAATCCTGCCAACAAACTTGATCTTGTGCTTTTTGATAAAGCCAATGAATTTATTTATATCATTGAATTTTCTGTCCCTTTTGACAGCAATGTGATTGGCAAGATTCAGGAACAGCATGCTAAATATGCGGATCTCGCCTTTGAAATGTCTCGCTTGCATCCCAAGTACACTGTCGTCAGGCTCCCCATTGTTCTCGGGGCCCTTGGTTTGGTACCTCCTGATCTCTTGGCGCAGATCAGGAGAGTGCCCGGGTTCTCCACCGCGAGTACAGCCTTCTGACACTCCGGGTAAGGCAGAAGGCTGCTGTGTTGGGGAGCCTTCATATTCTCCGGAAAGTTCTTGGTGGGTTCGACTAGGCAGCGTTTCCTGTTTGGGCTGCATGTAGAGGGGGCAAGGGCCCTGAGCTGATGATGAGCCTTACCAGCCTGACTGTGCCATGATCACCCGAACCCTTTCTGCTGCACACTATCTTTAATCTGTAAAACATAATAATAATAATGTGTACATTTATATAGCGCCAAACCCCACACTAGGTATGCTCAAAGCGCTAACAATCAACAACACAGCACAGTATAACCCCGGAAAACCCAAGCTGCCTGTTAGGCGCTAGAAGGTTATAGTCACAAGACTTTATCCCACTGGGTACTAGGACTCTGATGGGTACTCGAGTACCCGGCAACGGGTCGGGTACGGCAGGACTCGAGTCCAAATTCCAGGACTCGAGTATCCGACAAAGGGAGACAACTCTAAACTAAACGTGATAACGTGTGCAGTGATGGATCAGAAAAGGTCGAAGGTATGGTCCCATTTTGATCTTGACACTTCAAAACCAAGTGTCGCCTTTGCGGCATTATGCTGAGTTATGCAGGGAGCTCAACAAGCTCAATGAGAAAACATCTTAACATGAAAACACAAGTCCATCAGTGTGTACGATTCTTCCCAAAATTGGGTCAAAAAGCAATCCACGCTGACGCAGGGATATTTGGGGGGTTACAACAAGGACCAGCCCTATAAAATGCACCCCCCAAATCTGGTTGAAACATTCACATTACAACGTCAGCAGGATGCCGCGACTCACAACAGCTCAGAGGAACCAGGCGCTAGGAAGACTTGAAACTGGCCACACTGCACAAACCGTTGCCAATCACTTCCAGGTCAATGTTCGGACCAGCTCCAGGCTGCAGCAACGTTTCCGGGCCACCAACACCACAAATGATCGCCCCCGTACTGGCAGACCAAGGCTGACCACAAGGCGACAACCGCCATGTTGTGCGACAGCATGTACAGAATCCCTTCATACAGGCATCCGAAACAGCACGCCAGACAGTGGGAACACACGTAAGAACAATCAGTACTGATACAGTACGCCGACGTCTTAACAGCGGGAACCTCCATTGCCGTAGACCTTACCTTGGAGCTATCCTCACCCCTCGTCATCGGCGTGAACGTCTACAGTTTGCCCTACAACATCAAAACTGGCGATACAGACAATGGAGTACTGTTCTGTTCACAGATGAGAGTCTGTACTGCGTATCAACTGCAGATGGCAGAACAAGAATATGGCGACGACGTGTCAAGCGTTACTCAGACCAATGTGTGTGAAAGAGACTCATGGGGAGGCGCAAGCATCATGGTATGGGGTGGAATAATCCTGAACCAGAGGTCCTGTGGTGTTCCAGAACCTTGGTTCAGGGAGAGGAGGCGGCATCACAGCGGTGAGCTACATCAACCAAGCTATACCACATTTCGCACGTCACCGGAACAACATTTTTTAGCATGATAACGCCCGGGCCCATACTGCCAGAGCTACATGGGACTTCCTACAGCAGAACGGTGTCAACATTATGCAGTGGTCAGCCCTTAGTCCTGATTTAAACCCAATTGAACATCTTTGGAATGAAATTCAGAGGAGACTGAATAATGTCATACCAAGGCCGAACACAGCCGATTTGTTGCGCCAGGCCTTTCTCAGAGTGTGGTTCCAAGTACCAATGGCTTTCATCAATCGATTGGTGCACTCCATGCATAGACGCTGTGCTGCAGTTATTGTTGCTCGTGGTGGTCACACTAGATACTGAAGTCAAAGGTCTGAATGGACTGCAAACGTTCACGTAATGTCTTGAAATTCTTCTGAGTTAATCATTGATGTGTCAAGATATTGTACACAAACATGTTTTTGATCCGCTTATGTCAAATTCTGTAATGATTTGATTACAGTGCCTATCTAATTTTGAATTCGTACTGACGTTTGTTTTTCTGCTGAGTATAGTAACATGCCCAAAGACCCTCCATGATTACCTTATGAAGTAATATATGCCGACACCAAAACTCATCTTCAAGATATTCTATAGCAGTAACCTGGCGTATCTTTGACAACAGATATCTGGACCAGCTGTGCCACCCACGGTTTAATACATCACCGTCACAGGGCATTACATCACAGACGAGTGGGATCTAAAATCATGCATTCTTACCATTAGACGCGTGGACGATCATCCATGATGCACTTTGTGACAATGTGCAATCTTTTCAAAGAAATTCACATTTGATATTGGTTAAACGAAACGTGCTTTAATAAATGTTCTGATTTTGACAATTGCTTGTTTTTTCTGAATTTTGTTCTCTGCATTGTGGGTTGAACCTCCATTGTTACTCCAGTCTCAAAGCTTTTCAAACCCTCGATTTTTGTGTATCCATAACCACGTGTTGCGACACGAGACGCTATACCTCACATGAACCGGTTTCTGTTGTGGGCTGTTTGCGCCAGTGTTCAGTTGAGTAATGTGGCCTTTCAATTTAATACAGACGTTATAACTTAGAAGTGCTGCATTCTTGCGTGAAATTCCATTGAAAACTACCTAAAACAAACACATAGCTCTCACTAAAATTTTTACTATAACTTAAAAGTTTCGGGTACTCGAGTCCGGGTCGGGTTTTATCCCCCGGGTACTCGAGTCCGATTTTTGCTACCCGTCAGAGCCCTACCGGGTACCCATTTTCTGCTGGGTGAACAGAGGCAATTTTGAACAAACTCACTTGCCTAAGGTGAGACCACATGTATTACATGTGCTTCGTTGTGGGGCAGGACTGAAGTCCTAGAGTCATGCTGCCAAACACGGTCACCCATCTAAGGACTCTCTGCGCTCAACATTGCTAAACTTTGCTGATTTGTGACCTGAGCTCTACGCACAGGACCACAAACCACCACACACATGTATGACTTACTCTGAAGAAATGTCACTCGTGCTGGTCAACAGGCTACTTTGAACTGCTGCGCCTTGCAATGCATTGTAGGCGACTCCTGCACTACGACTCCCGCCATAGCCTTCATCTCTGCTTTTGGACTGACCACTGACGGTCACATTCAACTCAGGCACTGACTCAGCTGGGGCTGTTGGCTGCAGCCGGCTGTATGTGAACTGATCTCCATTTGTCACCCACGTCTGCACTTTCTCAAAAATCTCTCCGCATTTGGCTTCAGTCTGGAAGACATGTTCTACTTGCTTACAAACCAGTAAAAGTATTGCTGTGTGACATTTTGAGTGAGTTTAGTTTTACAATATTACAGAGTGAGTGAGTTGGGTTTTACACTGCTTTTAGCAATATTCCAGCAATATCATGGCGGGGGACACCAGAAATAGGCTTCACACATTGTACTCATGTGGGGAATCAAACCTAAGCCTTCGGCATGACGAGCAAACCCTTTAACCACTGGGCTACCCCACCGCCCCCATGTGTGACATGTCGATTAAATACAGCTTATGTTATCAAACAGGCTTTATGCATTTGATATAGATGACGATCATAAATGTTTTAAGAAAGACATAAAAAACAAACCAAAAATCAAAATTGACCTTCATAAGAAAGCATATATGAAATGAAAATCTAGCAATTAGCATACTTACACTAAGAAGATATTGAGTGAGTGAGTTTAGTTTTACACCCCATGCAGCAATATTCCAGCTTTATGGCGGAGGTCTGTAATAATCGAGTCTGGATCAGACATTCCAGGGATCAACAGCGTCAACATCAATCTACGCAACTGGGATACGATGACATGTGTCAACCCAGTCAGCGAGCCTGACCACCCGATCCTGTTAGTCGCCTCTTACGACAAGCATGGATTGCTGAAGATCAATTCTAACCCAGACCTTCACAGGTAAGAAGCTATTGAATGTGTGAGAGAATGAACTTGGCTGAAAGCCAGTTTGACCATTATTCCACTTATATCACTGGGTGTCAGCCATATGTGGTAGAAAAGCCTGAAATAATGCACATCTCAGACATTTACTACTTTGGTGAAACCTAATGAGTGCTAACGAACCTAGAAACATAATAATGGTGATCTGGCAAATATTCAAAGGACCTACTTTGTCAAGTTTTGTGCTCAAGAGTTGTTGGCAATCAATTACACTTTCAATATTTTTCTCAATCTTTGAGATGCGGTTCAGGTTCTTTGAAAGGGCCCTGAAAAGAAACAAGAATAAATTTTTTACCCTCAATAACAAAATTGGCCATCAAAACTAAGTGTTATAATATGAAAGGTTCATCCACTAAACTTTACAAATGACCCAGGTTTGAGAATCAAATATGAACTTGTGTTTGTTGTGGCAGAACGAGTGATCATGTCAGCTGCTAGACAACCCTCTTACCCCCTGTTTACTGAGATACTTACGCATAGAACTTCATGGAATCTGTGTACATGATGTCCAGATTTCTGTAGCAGTGATCCTGCAAGATGGACGAAATTGCAACACTCTGATGTTGCAGTTTTTGCCTGGAAGTAAAAACGGAAGACATCTTGTGAATATATTTTTTCTCCAGCTCAAAACCACTTAGAAGAAGATACAAGAGTGTTAGAAATATTGTCTCTAGTATATACCAGAAAGAAAGACTTGTTTGTTGTTTCAAGCATCACTGCAATATTCCATCAATACGATGGTTTGTAAATAATGAACATCGTGTTGATCAAATTAGGATGAGATGCAGGGATATGCATCAACCATGTCAGCTTGTCTAACCACTCAATCACCATCAGTCACCTCTTTCAAGAAAAATCAATTGCTGAAAATCAATTCCAATCCAAACATTGATGGGGACCGAGTTAAAAGAACTGATAGTAAGACAACCTTATCACCGAAGAAAGCCTAAATGTGACTGTAATGAGAATGCCTCATTCAAAACTAGTTAAACGTTGGATACAAACATGAATTGGTTTACCGTTCAAATATGTGTATCTGTTGATCGTGTTGTGTCATCTGATCCTTCACATTCCTGTCACGGCGGAAACGACTCTGTATACTGGCTATCACGGAGACAAGGTGGCTGATCTTTGATAGGCTAAAAATATAAAGAAACATAAAAAATAACAACAATTAAGATACAATCAGCTAGTGGAATGACACAGGAGTGATGTGCATTGGCGGATCCAGGGGGTTCGAACCCCCCCTTTTGAAAATGACTTAAAACCACATTGAAGATTTTTTTGCATTGGCAGAGCCAATGTGGGGTTCAGGGGCTTTGAGCCATCCCCCCCCCCCCAACGACACACACACCTCATAATTCCTGGATCCGCCCATGATGTGAATGAAACTTATCATGACTAACAGCACCAGAGTTAAAGTAGAAAAAGGGGGGAGGTAACTCTGACAAGAATAACATGCAATTACAGAGACAACATACCTTGTACACAGGGGAGGCAACTCTGATATGGTTAGTACAACATACAAGTTTAGAGCAAAGAAATCTCCTTGAAATACATTTACAATGAAATGCTCACAACCTATACATCCAAAATCTGATTAGAACAGATCAGAGTATGTGAGCCTTCTGCTTGTTGATAGATGTTTCATGTGAATCCATGTGTAACAAAAACAATGACACACAGCTTGACTACTACTGTGATACTGCTACAAGCTTAACTGCCAGCTTGGTTACAGAGAAATTAACGGCAACTATGATGGATGTTAGTAAGTAAAATATTCATAAACATTAAATTAAAACCAGGGATCTGCTGTGCTTAGCAATAATACGGACAAATCCTGGTTGCTGAGAATGAAGACACATCTCTCATGCCATAGTTGCTGACATTTGTAACAAGTTATAGATAACTAAACCCAGGGGGGTATTTCAGAGATCTGGTCCCTCTGTTTCACCATAGGAAAAGTAATACTGGTTTTCAGTTGTGCTTCTCTAAAGAAATGGGTGACACTGTGGTTTTAAGAATTCTTGAATTGGTCTTGACTTACTGAAATTTTGCAACCAATCAACTTTTTTCAACAGTCCAAAGAGGACAATTTGCTCTAAAATATATTCCTGACTGAATTCCTTAATGCCTGTTTTGCATGACATATTTTGAAGTCTAACTACTATATAAAACATATGAATGAATGGTGACCTAATTTCATGACTAAACTCATTGTTTTTTGTGAAATGAAAATTTGACTTAAAATGGCAGATTCTACTGGGTGGAAGAGCTTAGGCCGGGTATATTCATAGCATTGGACTACTTGATTTTTGCTGGAGTATAACATTGAAAAGGTTGGAAGAATACCTACTTAAATATTTTCTTAACAGTTATGACTTGTTATCAAAATGAAACCACTTTTCAGAGTTCTTCCTTGTTTTTGTTTTTCTTTGTTGTTTAACATCACCCTCAGAATATTCCAGCTATATAGCAGCGGTCAGTAGATAATCAAGTCTGGACCAGACAATCCAGTGATCAACAGGATGAGCATCGGTCTATGCAACTGGGATACGATGACATGTGTTAACCAAGTCAGCAAGCCTAACATCCCAATCCCCGTTATTCGCCTATTACGATAAATATGGGTTGCTGAAGACCAATTCTAACCCAGATCTTCATGGGTTACTTTTCTTAGTACTTGTCATGGGTTTAACAGAAAGTTTTGCATAATGAGCGTACACTCCATGATACAACACTGTCTGCGGCCCTGGACTATCTACGTAACGCCTCTTACCAGTCTGTATCCTTGCATCTGGCGCACCACTTCTTCATGCGAACCTCATCCTGATCAAGCCTCTCTACCAGTGCTGTGCGATAGTTGACTATCTCTAAAGTCCGCTCTTCTGCCTAACAGATACAAATTGACAAAAAATATTTATCAAGAGAATTATGATATAATGGATCATTTAAGCATATGACCAAATGACCTAAATGATGCCCAGAGGCTAATAAGAATAATTCATTTGTATAGCGCCTAAATTCCAGGATAGGCCTGCTCAACGGTTGGTTATTTGTGCAGCTTTGTTCTGGATTCGTTGAAGGTGCGAGATGACAGTTGATCCAGACAAGAGGGAGTTACCATAATCTAATCTTGATGTGACAAAGGAATTCATGAGAGTTTTGCAAGTGTCCGTATCAATGTACTTGCAGATTTTGCCTATTTTGCTGAGATGGTAATTTGCCGTTTGGGCGGTTTTGAGTGCCTGAGCTTTACTGGACATCAAGCAGTCCATGATTACTCCAAAGTTCTTGACCCGTGATGATAGATGGACAAGGACTGAATCCACTTTAATGCTCACAGGAGGGAGTTTTGATAACTGTTTCTGAGTACCAAAAACGATGAGGTCTGTCTTGTCACCATTCAATTTAAAGCAATTGCACACATCCATTTGTGGACATCAGTGATGCAGTGTTCCATCGTTGTGACGGCACTTGACACATCTGTCGGATTTATGGTTATATACAACTGCTGATCATCAGCATAACCATGATATTAATTATATCTTACTTGACAATACAATATGGCTTTGGCTGACACGAAAACTTGTCTTGATAAGTTAAATTCTAAGATTTTTAATCTTGATTTGTTGAGTGAATTATACTCCTAAGGAAGCAAAACTGTCGACAGCCAAGAACAGTTGTCTTTCACAATATTTTCCAATTTTTACATGAAAAAAGCAACAAGACATGCATAGGATAAAAAATACTAAGAACTTCTTAGCAGTGCTGCTTTCTTTCAGTAAAGAGGCTAGGTGAGATATGAGAAAATTACCATGGCTTACACAAGTCATAAAAAACAATTGTCAGGATCACAATAATGTAATTTTCTGACTTAAATTGATATTTTATACTTATCCTGACTCATGCTAATTTTGCTAATTATGCTTGTCTCCTTCCTCTTGCGAATGATAGTGCAACACTTGAAATCCCTTGAAGTTCCCTTTAAAATGGTGGACGTAAAATCAACCACCCAGAGTAGCGTCCCTTTGGCGCCCAAATGGTCACATGATCGACCATATTTGTCCCTTTCTCCGTATGTAAGCCCGACACCCGGATTTACATGGAAATCCAGAGCGCCATAAGAGGGGCGGTTGGGATGGCTAACCTTATGAGTCAGGATAAGTATAAAATATGAATATTTGTCCTTATCCTGACTCATGCTAATTATGCTTGCAGATTCTGTCGGAAACGGTAGTGGGTCAAGCCAATTCTGGATTCACTAGTTGTAGATTTATGTCCTGTTCTACCCCCCTTGGGAACTTATAACGGCACTTGTTGAAGATTCTTACAACTTCTCTCTGATGAGTCTGGGGGGGACCACAACTTGTCGGATTTCTTCCGAAACTTCTCCTGACATTTTCGTGTGGATTTTAGATATACTAATATTCCATTAGTTATCTATTGCAACTCGATCTCTTGATGTGCGCATCCTGACCCTGAGGCGCGCATCAAGTGGAGATGCGACCCTTCTTCATGGACACGTATGTCCTATACAAGTACAGGGTCTATCACTCATGCTAGTCTGTCCTAGATGTGTGCATGGACTTTTGCTTAACCATTTGCTCTCCAGAGCGTTGGTTTTCACAAGTCACGTGATAAAAAGGGTGAGATTTTCTCAGTGCCTTTGCGGAACCGTTATTTGTTGTGCTACAACAAGTGGCCCAAACTGGTGAATGCCTGAGACGTCTTCGGTGGCAATGTCTCTGAGGTAGTGGTTGGTAAACACCGTGTTCGATCTCCAAAAGCAGCCCTCCATTATAGTTGTAATCAAGCAGTTTCCATGCAGAGCAAGTTTTTTCAATTTTTCATCTCCTTGTTTTAGTTCTCTGTAGGTAGACTTTAAGTGCTCTGACTGGGCATAAGGATAGATCCTGTGTATCCTGTGGCCCAAGTACTGTAGAGAGTGCTAGGATGTGGAACTGTCTGTCAGGCTAGCCGGGCAGCTGGTTCTTGGTGATAAAATCCCATCTCAGTCCAAGATGTACGATGTCACGATGTCTTGATTCAAATCGTGTTCATTCAAAGTCCAGAGCATGTATTTCTGACATCCGTGCAGCTGTTGCTAGGATGATCAGGAACAGTGTTTTCTGAGTCAGTAGTTCAAAGGATGTCCGTTCTAGAGGCTCGTAGACATCACTGGTGAGATGTTGTAGAACTATGTTGAGATCCCAGGCAGGCGTCTTGATTTCTTTGTTGGTCTTCCAACTTGAACGAGCGTAGTAGTGCCAGAATCTCTGGTACTTTGGTCAGCTTGACACCCGTCTTCATGGTGATAACTGTGCTGAGAGCAGCCAAGTACGTTGAGAGTGTTGAACCTTTTAAGTGTCTCGTCTGTCGCAGATGACACAGGTATTCCGCCACTTAAGGATGGGTTGCTTTTACTGCTGTAAAGCCTTTCCTCGTTTCATACTGTTCAAATCTCTGGCACTTGTCGTCGTACAAGTTGCGAGTTGATCTGCATAGAGCTGGTGTTACTGCTTTCGCTGCTCTGGCGGAGTACCCTCTAGTCTTCAGGCAAGCTTTGATACGCTCCACGTGTGTAGCTGGAACAATGCCTGATTCCCGTGAGCTTGCTTGGTGTGTGGATGGACGAGCAGGTTCGACCACTCTGGTAGTTTCAGGGTTGGACTTCAGAGTTCTTGTATGAGGACGGGAAACCATACCCTCGCTGGCAAATAGGGCGTGACCAAAATCAGTTGCAGCATTGTCGTCTGGTTGATTTTCTGTATTACTTGTGGTAGTAGTGCTGGAGGTGGAAACGCATAAGCGTTTAGTCCTTCACATGAAATGCTTAAAGCGTCTGTTACCCATGCCTGAGGATCCGGAATCGGAGTGACGAATGTTGGTAGTTGCTTGTTGAACTTTGTTGCAAACAGGTCTAACAGTGGAGATCCTATTGTCTGTTGACGAGCCGGAACGCTTCTGGGTGTAACATCCACTCCGTCAGAGATGGTTGTAGTGGACGGGATAGGGCGTCTGCTATGACATTCCTTGCTCCTGGAATGTGGCATGCCTTCATGTTGATGTTCAGGTCGTCGACAATGCTGAACAGGAGAGAGCTGACTTTTTGATCTTGTTGATCCTTGTTGATGTAGAATGCCACTATGGAGTTGTCCGTGTGGACCCTGAGTCTTGCGTTCTTTAGTACACTGGACCAGTGTTGTAAAGCGTTGATCACTGCTTTCATCTCCAACAAGTTGATGTTGATTTGACCACTTCCCTGCTGCCACTTCGTTGTCCAGGTGGGCACCCCATCCTTGTAGCGATGCATCTACGTAGAGATGAGTGTTGCAAACCGGCTCTGACAAAAAGGTTCCTCCGCAAACATTCGACTTCCGCATAGGAGGTATGATTTCAGGCTGTCCGGTAGTATCAGCGAATCCAGACTGTCGAGATGGCCGTTCACCAACATTTGTAGTGGGTGCAGCTGTAGTCTCCCTCTGCGAGTCATGTCTTGAGCTGAGGTGAATAGACCAAGCATGTTTTGCCAAGCACGTAGTGTCAACGGAGAGAGCATTGCTTGAGATATCATATGTTGTATCTTGATCCAACGATCCTCTGGGACGACTGTGTGATTCTGTGATGTGATGAGCCATATTCCCAGAAATTGAAGATCCTGTTTTGGTTCCAACTCCGATTAGGAGATTACTAGCCATCTACTGCAATCATGTCCTACGTTGTAGGTACGTGGATCTAGGAGCCCTTGCCATGTCCGTCATGGAAGCGGAGAGATGATCGATTCTGGAATCATGGCTTGAAGCTTGTCTCATCAATCTTCCGGTACTATGTAATGAAGATGTTGTCACCAAAATCTGAACAATGTGCAGCGATGATGCATATATGTCGTCTCTAGATCAGCAAAAATCATTGATGTACTGGGACTGCCATCGATGTGAAGTCTATTTATAGCCGACCGGCTGCTGCAAGCAGAAATCATCTCATGCCTGTCCCGTGATGACAGTCGAACCACGCTGTACCCTGCTAACTGGACTGTAAATGGAGCCTTTCCCACGTTGAAAGAGTTGTTTACAACTGTAGACGACTTCCTGACACGTGACTGTGACGTCACCGGTGTTGCAGGTAAATGATCCTCGTAAAATCTTGTGCAGTCGTTGATTTCTTTGTCAACACTCGGCCTTGTCCGTAACCTGCTTGTTCGGCTTGTGCCGGAGTTACACAAGTGAACACGTGTCTTGATGGCTGAGTGGAAGCACGCGGAAACTTCACCGCATAGTACCGATGTAAGCAGACTGTTCCTGTCTGTTGTGACTGTATTCACTTCAACTTTATAATCTTCACTGCAGTCGTCATCTTATACAGATGTTCTGTAAAGTTGTGTCATAGCCATCATCTAGTTGTAGTGACCAGTTGCGTTATCTTCTTATCTTCCATCTTGAAGATCTATTACGGGATGCAATGATGATCTTGTAATCACAAACCCTGATGTATCATGAAGGGCATCGTATGATGTAGGGGAAATCTGCTATCGTTGAACGGCGGGACATGCTGACTCTGATTATAATCCTCCCCGTAAGTGCCTGCGCGCACCTGGAGAACGACTGGATCTACTTCTGTGTTAGAATCCTTCCTGCTGAGACGCTGAAACTGCGTGGAGGCTCCATCGTGGACTGCTATCGCTAAACTGGCGTTTGTTGAATCCTCCAGGCTTCAAACTGCTGATACTTCTGACAGTAAAGATCTTCATGAACATAACCGTTCGTTCAGGCCTCCATCCGAGAGAGCTTGTATAGCTAATATTCCTTCGTGCAGGCCGTCTGTCATCGGAGGGGTCTGCTATGCTGAGCTGATGTTAGTAGAGTTCTCCAGCCCTCTAACTTCAGACGGTGCAGTTGGACATTTCCCTATCTGAAGATCCATGACGTGAGTCTCGCTGCGTGCAGGTAATCGGTCCCGGTGTGACCGTGTATTCCTCCTGGAGTCTTGAGATATCTCTCTTGGGATGATCTGCGATCGATCCCGATGCGATCTTGACTCTAGGCGAAGGTGGGGTTCCTGGACGTAACTTCCCCTCAGTAGAAGTGCCTTTGCGCAGGCTCTTGATGGTCGTCAGAGTCCGATGGAGATGACGACTCATATCTGCGACGTCTGTAGGGTTCGGGAGAACGCCTCAATTCCTTCCTGCATGAAGACTTCTTAGCAGCACTCTCTGGGGCGTCTACTTCAGATGGGGAGGATCGTCGTGTCCAAGAGCCTTCGCGCAGGCTTCCCTCTTCATCCAGATGTGGTGGGGAGACTGTAGAGCCTTCACGCAGGCTAGTAGACGTTGTAGCGGTCTTCATATCAGCCTCCTCTTGAGCGAAGCGACGTTCCATCATCGACATCATCTGGTCTGTAAACTGTTACATGAACAGTCCCGGGTTGAAGTTCTGCGTTGTCTGAAGAGACTGCTGCAGGGATGATGCATCTGATACTGAAGAGATGTCATCTGAGGCTCGCTGCACTCATGACGAGTTGACGCTGCTGCTATCTCTGGTACCCTATGTCTGCGTTGATAGTAGATCTTCTGTCAAATTCTGCGCTGATACCAATGCCGATGTAGCTGTAGAAGCAGACTTCGTCTTCTTACTGACAATGGTGACTTCAGGTATGATGATGGGTGGATCATCCTAAACATCTGCTTCTTCCGGAGGAACAATCTAGGCTGAGAAAGACCTCATCTTCTGTGTAGCTGATCTTAGACTTCGCTGAAGTCTTCATGGTAGCAGCCTTCTTCTTCTGCGAAGATGAAGATTTGGCCTTCTTCATCTGCGATGAGGTCAGCTCAGTAGACGATGATCACCTATGGCCTCCGGTGATCACCTCTGCTACATCGACCTGCTCCTGAGATATGTTCAGCAATTCACTAGCATTATGAATATCTGCAGCAGTGGTTAACACACGGTTATCAGCGTAATCACTCGAATAAATACCTACGTACCCAGTCCTTAGCACGTCTATGGATGGAAAAAAAGGGAATTATTAAATTCAACAGAATTTGAATGTACACAACACTCACAGCGAGAGCTGAAAGAACATGAAACAGTGCAATTAGGACATAATAAATGAGGGTCAGCCGCAGACACTCGGTACCTACAATGAATACAAGTTTTCATCAATTGTAAACATGAAGAAAACACGAAGCCCTTGCCATGAAGCCCTTGCCATGTCCGTCATGGAAGCGGAGAGATGATCGATTCTGGAATCATGGCTTGAAGCTTGTCTCATCAATCTTCCGGTAAGATGTAATGAAGATGTTGTCACCAGAATCTGAACAATGTGCAGCGATGTTGCATAATACGTCGTCTCTAACATGAAGAAAACACATGTCAAACAACGGAAATTTAGATCAAATTTCAATCCGTAATGTAGAATATAATCCTAAAAAACGTATACAGCAATAATTTTGATGTAAGGTCCGAAAATTAAAAAGGATGTGCTGTATAGGGACCCAGGTGCTCTCACAACCGTCCTAATGGGCGAAGAAGGAGAGAGTGACAAATATGGCCGGTCATGTGATCATTTGGGCGCTGAAGGAAGGAAAGGGACGCTACTCTGGGTGAGTGATTTTATGTCCGCTTTTTTAAAGGGAACTTCAAGGGATTTCAAGTGTTTCACTATCATTCGCAAGAGGAAGGAGACAAGCATAATTAGCAAAATTAGCATGAGTCAGGATAAGGAAACATTATATGCAACAAACATTTCATAACGACTATCCTATGACCAACAACTAAGAAAGAACAAAGCTACGCTAGGAGATCTGTTACCTGTTGGGGAACAGTTACCTTGGCATGCACTGTGAGCAGTGTCCTGTCTTTGAGGAGATCATCCAGCGCTGTGCCTGGGTACTTCATCACATTCAGAAGCATCCTGATCATTTCCAGCATGGAGTAGAAAGTCTCAAACCTCTTCTTTGACTCGGATAGAAGCTGAGACATTGTCAGGAACCTTTCTCCAGAACATTTTAATCTGAACTGGAGGTATAGTCTGAAGGAATAAGAATAGTAATTATGTGTCAGTGTACTGTGATCAATTCCACTGACGCCCAGCATCCCCAACTTATTCATAGCATTTCGGTCCTTCAGTTGTTTACTCAAGATATTACCCCCCCCTAGCCATAAATTATGAACAGTCCCTATGTGGGTCCTTATTACAATGATGAATAACCTAATCACACATACTGATATACGCTCACCTTCCATCCTTTCATCCATCCATACATCCTTTCATCCATCCATCCATCCTTTCTCCATCCATCCTTTCATCCATTCTCCATCCATCCTTTCTCCATCCATCCTTTCATCCATCAATCCTTTCACCCATCCATCAATCCTTCATCCATCAATCCTTTCATCCTTCATTCAATCCTTTCATTCATCCATCCATCATCCACCCTTTCATCCATCCATCCTTCCTTCCATCCATCCTTCCTTCATCATCCATCCTTTCATTCATCCATCCTTAAATCCATCCATCCATATTTCATCCATCCCATCCTTCCTTTCATCCATCCATCCCATCCATATATCATCCATCCTTTCATCCATCCATATTTCATCCATCCTTCCATCAACCCATCCTTTCATCTTTCATCCATCCATTCATCCATCCCATCCATATTCCATGCATTCTTCATCCATCCATCCATCCTTCCTTTCATCCATCCTTCATACCTCCATCCTTTCATCCATCCATCCTGAAGGCAACAAAACATTCCATGATGGTAGTCTTCAATAAAGCAGAAATGACTCGAGTGAGAGATTGAGTTTAGCAATATTCCAGCAATACAAGGGCAGAGGACACCAGAAATGTGCTTCACACATTGTACAAATGTGGGAAATCGAACCCAGACCTTTTGCATGATGAGCAAACGCTTTACCCCACCGGTACTGGAAACTAGCATAGGTCCGTCCTTTGGGCCCTACTGTTCTGGACTCAGTAATGGCTCATGAGTGAATTAAACCAGTAATGACACCGAATGTAATCTACCTGAGGCACAGCTCAGCTTCTACTAGCATCTCCTGTGTCTGCACAGTCTCTGTCGTGTACCGCTTGATGAGATGGGCTCTTGCACAGCAGCTGTGTGCAAGACGCATGTCTTTCTCCATTTCAATGAAATTGGCAAAATCAGCGACCTGTGCTAAAAGGAGACGAAAAAAACAAAACAATACAGATGATATGTCTACACCTGTTGACATACAAAATGTAGCAGCCATAAATTTTTGAGCCCCGTTCTGGGATTTGAACCAGAGACCATCGGATTCAAAGCCGGACACCTTGTCCACATGACCAAAGAGGTTAATCCCGTCAGCAAGCTGACAAGGTAAGGATGTCATCTGTGGGATGACTCCATGCTCTGCTACAAAAACAAAACACAACATCATTTATATAATCATTTACTCTAAAACAACATTTTCACACTGTGAGAAAAACGATGAACTCTTACGTATGATAGGGTGGTGCAGTTTTTCTTTTTCCTGAGATTTCATGTCACAATGGTAAAGGAATATTGTAGCTTGTAAAACATGGAGGGGGTATGAGTCCATGTTGGCTGTAGGGTCGATGATCTCTTCCAGGAGCTTCCCATTCAGTAACAACAGCTGCTCTGTTGCAGGGATCTCTGTGAGGGAAGCTATATGCTCTCTCAGTGTTGAATAGCTGAAAAGTTGAGGAATAAGCGAGTGAGTGAAAAGAGTTTAGTTTTACACCGCTTTTAGCAATTTTCCAGCAATATCATGGTGGGGTACACGAGAACTGGACTGACTGACTGAGTTTGGTTTTACGCCGCTTTTAGCAATATTCCAGCAACATCATGGCAGGGGACACCAGAAATGGGCTTCACTCATTGTACCCATGTGGGGATTCGAACCCGGGTCTTCGGCGAACACTTTAACCACTGGGCTACCCCACCGCACCTTGAGAGTTAAGGACTTCATTTTCACATCATTGTCTTTTGTCTGATGCAGCTGTTGAACACATCATAACTTTGTCTTAGTTACTCTTCAAGATCAACATAAACCAAGTTTATCCTTTCATCATATTACAATTGCACCAATGTTACTATAAATTAAAGCTAAATAATCCAAATTAAATATTTTGATTAAAGAAATGATACTGCTGTCAGCAATATTGCAGCAATTATATTGCAACCTGTAAATAATTGTCTGAGCCAGCAAACCAGTGACAAAATCATGAACATCACTACAAATTAGCTGGTATGAACTTTCAAATTACACAACGCTCAAAAATATCAAAGAAACAGGTGCAAGGATATTATTATCTTACAATTGGCAAAATAGCCACAGGTTTTACTTCCTCTGTGCTTAACTTGACACAATGAAGATGTAAGCGCATTTTTTATTAATAATGAATTTACTTAAGTTTTAATTGTATTTTTTTATTAGAAAAGGAACTTCCATGCTTATTTACAGTAGCAGTAACAGTGACATTCTAAAGACTGCGACAGCTATTGAACTTGTGAGATTCTTGTGTATGTGTCCTTATTCTAACACACTTTGTCGATATTGGTATTGTCTCACTTTAAAATATCTCATTCATTTGAACCCATGTAAGATATTCCCTCATTGCTATTTGAGGCCAGACAATGCCTGTAGGCAAACTGTAGTCAGTTCGGTTGATGTTCATTTGTTGGCTCTATAAGGAGCCATCCGCCGCGTACCGACCGGGCTGTATATATGACACACTGGACACTTGTCTGATTGCATCAGACATCAATGACTGTCTTACCTGATCAACAGTGAATTTATTCTCAAGTTGATTGTGTATGTCTGAAACTCACTGGCATAAGTGCAAATGGTTTGTACTACTGAGGCAGTGCCTAAGAACTAGAACTATGTTTAAAGTCAAGAAACTCACCTGTCAGTCTTGTCCAGGTATAGTTTGAGGTGAGTACATGATGAAGTATGAAATATGGAGAAGGTGAGTTTGTTACTAATTCTATGAACTGCATTGAAAAAGGCATCATAGGATATGACTCTAGCATCATCCGTTTCCATCAGACCAGCTAGAAGGGGAACGACGAGTTTTTTCAATCCACTGAAACATATTGACAAAATACTGGGTTAGTGAGTTTGTTAATCATTGAAGACAACCTCTGTCCGAACAAATGTTGTCTTGAAATGAACAAGCATACTGTCACCAAAGAATATTATTTGCCATATATATAAAACTATGAATGGACAACGGCAACATGCCAACTCACCAGGAGAATCAACCACCACAACCCCCATCAACTCAAGAGAAACCACCAACTGAACCAACACAACCCCAATCAACTCACCAGGTGAAACCACCAACACAACCCCCATCAACTCAAGAGAAACCACCAACTGAATCAACACAACCCCCATCAACTCAACAGGAGAAACCACCAACTGAACCAACACAACCCCCATCAACTCACCAGGAGAAACCACCAACTGAACCAACACAACCTCCACTCACCAGGAGAAACCACCAACACAACCCCCATCAACTCACCAGGAGAAACCACCAACTGAACCAACACAACCCCCATCAACTCACCAGGAGAAACCACCAACTGAACCAACACAACCTCCACTCACCAGGAGAAACCACCAACACAACCCCCATCAACTCACCAGGAGAAACCACCAACTGAACTAACACAACCCCCATCAACTCACCAGGAGAAACCACCAACTGAATCAACACAACCCCCATCAACTCAACAGGAGAAACCACCAATACAACCCCCATCAACTCACCAGGAGAAACCACCAACACAACCCCCATCAACTCACAGGAGAAACCACCAACACATCCCCCATCAACTCACCAGGAGAAACCACCAATACAACCCCCATCAACTCACCAGGAGAAACCACCAACACAACCCCCATCAACTCACCAAGAGAAACCACCAACACAACCCCCATCAACTCACCAGGAGAAACCACCAACACATCCCCCATCAACTCACCAGGAGAAACCACCAACACATCCCCCATCAACTCACCAGGAGAAACCACCAACACAACCCCCATCAACTCAACAGGAGAAACCACCAACACATCCCCCATCAACTCACCAGGAGAAACCACCAATACAACTCCCATCAACTCACCAAGAGAAATCAACAGAATGAAATGCCATCAAATCACAAAGTGAACTACCCACAATACCAAATCAAACCTCATCAAGCAAATGTCTAACACATAGCTCACCCTCAACAGAAGATATCAGCTACAAGATGAAAGATCTGAGATCATATTGTCGCCCAAAAATGCAATGAATTGAAGCAACAGTCCAACAACCAATCCCAAACACATGGATCCCACAACAAAGCAGACATAAGGACCAATAATCTGTGATCATCTTGTGGTCCATAAACACAATCTAAATCATAAGGACCAATGATCTGTGATCATAGCAAGGTCCGATAATTCCACAATAATCAGTGTTAACATCTCATATATTTTCGTATTAAGGATTGTCTGTCTGCACAACTTGAAAGTGATCTTAGCACTGTGACTGCCATAACCCTATATTAAAGTATGAGAGTTAAGATCACCGTGTCCTCAGGGCCTTGGCATGTACTGAGAGATCTTTAACAATGTGGGTGTAAAGTTCAACCTTCCACCAGTATCATGCAAAACAGCCACGTTTCAGACACTAAAACTGAAATTATACATCACATGAGAAGTATATTGTTTACATTTCAAACACATGTACTGATTATAGTATATGCGACTGAAAGCAGTCCTGCAATGTTCTTTGCTATGATATATTTGCATAATAAAGATAATCATCTTGCTGCTCTCATGACAATGTTGCTACGGATTAGAAATGGATAAAAACACATTAATATCTACTTTCTCCTCTGTTAATACATATACATGTTATTTTATTTATTTTCCTATCTTGGAAAAACTAAATACTCAGTAAAAACACAAGAATGGAGATCCTCTATATCGTCATATGCTTTGTCTAATAGTATATACCTTGACAGTGGGCTCGTCGGGGGCAGCTCGTAACTCCAGTTGATAGGGCCTTGATCAAAGTTTTGAACACCAGAAATAACTCCACTGGCTTTTTGAGAAACAATTTCAAACCTGAAATTGGAGAAGATGAATGTGACACAATGCTCATGACACACTGGTGATTGTAGCTAAAATGGATAGAATTATCATTAAAACGCTGGCATGTTATCAGAAATGAGCGGGCCACTGTAACTTGATAATTCCCCTGGATTGCTTGACGACGGGCCATTATCAAGCCCGTCGTAAGGTGATGTCATAAGGAGCTCAGCATGCCCTACTTGGGTTCAATATTGATAATATTTCTGACGCACATTCTTTACATGTACCTGTTTCCAGTTCTGGTGCAATTATGCACATTCTTGCCAGTGCCAACCTTAACAATTGTACCATAAATTACAACATGCATCGACTGGAACTCTAACGTTGTTGAGCACTGAAAAAAATGCCGGCTGGTAGTATGGGAAAGGGTTAAGGTCGTCACGCTCAATAGTTACGTCATCTGTTTTGATTTATGATGTTTCCATGTTTGTAAAAAGTGGGTAAGTAACCTCTTTCGTTTGTTGTTAGCAGTAATTGCTTCAAAACCGATACCGTTGTTTGTTTTTTATTGTATTAAAAATTCTATCCATTTTAGCTATAATAATGGTAACAGAGCATGTCCTCATATTCAGACGATCAATAATAACAACAAGATCTTGATTTAAGTCAGTGCAACAACTGACTGACTGACTGACTGACTGAGTTTGGTTTTACGCCGCTTTTAGCAATATTCCAGCAACATCACGGAGGGGGACACCAGAAATGGGCTCCACACATTGTACCCATGTGGGGATTCGAACCCGGGTCTTCGGCGTGACGAGCCAACGCTTTAACCACTAGGCTACCCCACCGCCCTCAGTGCAACAAAAGCACAACATACATGGTATAGCCCATTCAAACTATCATCATGATCCAAGGTCTTATTTTCTCAATTCTGCATTGATGTATAGCCTGGCACATCTGCCATTTGTTTATAAGTGACAGAATTTCTCACACTCATCAACAAAAACATGTGATATAGTGTTTGAACAGCATTTAGAAGTGATACATATGAAAGGTGGGAATTTATAGATGCCATGTATGAACATGTGAAACAACAACAGTGATAAGATAACAATTCTGGGAATGTAACAATATGTAATTTTCTGACTAAAATTCATATTTTATACTTATCCTGACTCATGCTATTTGCTTGTCGCCTTCTCCTTGCCAATGATAGTGGAACACTTAAATCCCTTTTGATGTTCCCTTCAAAAAAGCGGACGTAAAATTCTCACTCACCCACCAGTAGCCTCCCTTTGCCTTTTGGCGCCCTTTTCTTTCACATGACCGGCCATGTTTGTCACTCTCTCCGTACGTGAGGCCAACACCCGGATTTACAGGGAAATCCAGAGTGCCATGAGGGGAGGTTGGAAGGGCTGACATAAGTATACAATATCAATTTTAGTCAGAAAATTACATATTTTTCCTTATCCTGACTCATGCTATTTGCTTGTTAGAATCTGTCAGAAATGGTGGTGGGTCAGGCCACTTTCTGGATTCACTGGTTGTTGATTTACGTCCTGCATACCCCCCATAGGAACTTATGATGGCACTTGTGCTGATCCTTTTTCTTCCAGCTTCCTCTGATGAGTCTGGGGGGACCACAACTTGTCAGATTTCGTCCGGAACTTCTCCTGACATTATGTGTGGATTTATTGCAACTCCATCTCTTGATGCTCGCATCAAGTTGAGAAGCGACCCTTCTTCATGTACGAGTAAGTCCTTACATATACAGGGTCTATCACTCATGCTAGTCTGTCCTAGGGATGCGCATGGACTTAAGCTCTTGCTCTCCGTAGTGTTGGCTTTCACAAGTCACGTGATAAAAGGGTGAGATTCATCTCAGCGCCTTTGTGGAACCGTCAATTGTTGTGCTACAACAAGAGGCCCAAATTGGTGAATGCCGGAGACGCCCTCGGTGGCGATGTCTCTGAGGTAGTGGTTGGTAAACACCTTCTCTGACTTCCAAAAGCAGCCCTCCATTATCGTAGAGATGGAGCAATTCCCATGCAGAGCGAGTGTTGATGCCAGAGCCCTGACTTCGTGAGGGTTGGAGGCTCGTGGAGGCTCAAGTCCTGCTGCTTTGTAGGCCCTTAAGATGACGGCTCTCATCCAAATCGATATCGTTGTCCGTGAGACCTCTGTAGGTGTCTCTGTAGATAAGGGGAGGTAAAGGCGCGCTTGAATTTTCGTATCCTCGTCTTAGTCCTTTGTAGGTAGACTCTTATTGCTCTGACGGGGCATAAGGATAGATCCTGCATAACCTGTGGCCCAAGGACTGTAGAGAGTGCTGGGATGTGGAACTGTCTGTCAGGTTGACCGGACAGCGGGTTCTTTGCTATGAAATCCCATCTCAGTTCAAGATGTACGATGTCACGATGACTTGACTCTAATCGTGTTCGTTTGAAGTCCAGAGCATGTATCTCCGACATCCGTGCTGCTGTTGCCAAGGCGATCAGGAACAGAGTTTTCTGCATTAAAAACTCGAAGGATGTCCGTTCTAGAGGCTCGTAGGCATAACTGGTGAGATGCTGCAAGGCTACGTTGAGATCCCAAGCAGGAGCCTTGAATTTTCTTTGTTCGTCTTCCAACTAGAACGAGCGTAGTAGTGCCAGCATCTCTGGTACCTTGGTCGTCTTCATGGTGATAACCGTGCTGAGGGCCGCTAGGTATGTAGAGAGTGTTGAACCTTTTAAATGTCTCGTCTGTTGTAGATGACATAAGTATTCCGCCACATGAGGATGGGTTGCTTTCACCGCCGTTAAGCATTTCCTCGATGCATACCGCTCAAATCTCTGGCACTTGTCATCATACAAGTTGCGGGTTGTTCTGCGTAGAGCTAGTGTTCACTGCTTTCGCTGCTCTGGTGGAATACCCTCTTTTCTTCAAGCAAGCCTTGATACGCTCCATGCGTGTAACTGGAACACTGTGGGATTCCCGTGAGCTTGCTTGGTGTGTGGATGGACAAACAGGTTCGACCACTCTGGTAGTTTCGGGTTGGACTTCCGAATTCTTGCATGAGGACGGGAAACCATACCCTCGCTGGCCAATAGGGCGCGACCAAAATCAGTTGCAGCATCTTCGTCTGTTTGATTTTCTGCAACATCTGTTGTAGTAGAGCTGGGGGTGGAAACGTGTAGGCGTTTAGTCCTTCCCAAGAGATGCTTAAAGCATCTGTCGCCCATGCTTGCGGATCGGGAATCGAAGAGACGAATGTGGGTAGTGGTTTGTTGTACTTCATTGCAAACAGGTCTATCACCGGAGATCTTATCGTCTGTATGATGCATCGAAATGCTTCTGGATGTAACATCCATTCCCTAGGGGATGGTTGTGTTGGACGAGATAAGGCATCTGCTATGACATTCTTGGCCCCTGGAATGTGGCATGCCTTTATGTAGATGTTCAGGTCGTCGACGATGCTGAACAGATGAAAGCTGAGATCTAGAAGATTGGTTGATCTTGTTGATCCTTGCTTGTTGATGTAGAATGCTACTGTGGAGTTGTCCGTATGGATCATAAGCCGTGCGTTCCTTAGTACGCTGGACCAGTGTAGTAAGGCGTTGATTACTGCTTTCATCTCTAGCATGTTGATGTGCAGACTCTGATCCTGACTCGACCACTTCCCTGCTGCCACTTCGTTGTCGAGGTGAGCACCCCATCCTTGAAGCGATGCATCCATGTAGAGATGAGTGCTGCAGGCCGGCTCTAATAAAAAGGTTCCTCTTCAGACATTCGACTTCCGAGTCCACCATAGGAGGTATGGTTTCAGGCTGTCCGATAGTATCAGCGGATCCAGACTGTCGAGATGGGCGTTCACCAATATTTGTAGTGGGCGCAGCTGTAGTCTCCCTCTGTGAGTCATGTCTTGAGCTGAGGTGAGTAGACCAAGCATGTTTTGCCAAGCACGTAGTGTCAATGGAGAGAGCATTGCTTGAGATATCATATGTTGTATCTTGACCAAATGATCCTCTGGGACGACTGTGTGATTCTGTGGTGTGATGAGCCATATTCCCAGAAATTGAAGATCGTGTTTTGGTTCCAACTCCGATTAGGAGATTACTAGCCATCTACTGCAATCATGTCCTACGTTGTAGGTACGTGGATCTAGGGACCCTTGCCATGTCCGACATGGAAGCGGAGCGATGATCGATTCTGGAATCATGGCTTGAAGCTTGTCTCATCAATCTTCCGGTAAGATGTAATGAAGATGTTGTCACCAGAATCCGAACAATGTGCAGTGATGATGCATAATATGTCGTCTCTAACATGAAGAAAACACATGTCAAACAACGGAAATTTAGAAAAAAATTCAAACCGTAATATAGAATATAATCCTAAAAAACGTATACAGCAATAATTTTGATGTAACGTCCGAAAATATAAAAGGATATGTGCCGTATAGGGACCCAGGTGCTCTCACAACCGTCCTCAAGGGCGAAGAATGAGAGAGTGACAAACATGGCCAGTCATGTGACAGAAAAGGGCACCAAAAGGCAAAGGGAGGCTACTCATGCCTTCAGCATGACGCTTAAACCACTAGGCTACCCCACAGCCCACATCAGTTTGCAGTTAGCTTGTAAGGTGATCAAGCTCTATAGGGCATATATTTAGCCAAAAGTATGAAGCAAATGAACCTTTGGGGACAGAAACAGCTCCTGTTTGAGTGAGTGAGTGAGTTTAGTTTTACGCCGCACTCAGCAATATTCCAGCTATAAGGCTGCAGTCTGTAAATAATCGAGTCTGGACCAGACAATCCAGTGATCAACAGCATGAGCATCGATCTGCGCAATTGGGAACCGATGACATGTGTCAACCAAGTCAGTGAGCCTGACCACCTGAACCTGTTATTCGCCTCTTACAACAAGCATAGTCGCCTCTTACAACAAGCATAGTCGCCTTTTGTGGCAAGCATGGGTTGCTGAAGACCTATTCTACCCCGGATCTTCACGGGTCTGCTCCTGTTTGAAGCTAATTTGGGTAGATTTGATAGTGCTCACATTTTAGTTCTGTTGCTGCGGCCACCATATGGCTTAAACGGGAGATCCCCAGTGGCCACATGGTAAAATGTGACCCCAAGACTCCACAGGTCAACTGTAGCATCAAATCTTTGTCCAGTTGGTAGTCGCAGCACAGCCCTTTCATACATGCCAGGATGCTGAAAAAAATCACACACTCATCATTATCATTGTTTTGTTTGTTTGTTTGTTTGTTGTTTAACGCCGCAGTCAGCGATATCCCACCTATAAGGTGGTGGTCTGTACATAATCGAGTCTGGACCAGACAATCCAGTGATCAACAACAAGAGCATCGATCTACTCAATTGGGAGACAATGGCATGTACCAACCAAGTCAGCAAGACTGGCCTCCCGATCCCGTTAGTCGCCTCTTGTGACAAGCATGGGTAACTGAAGATCAATTCTAACCTGTATCTGATCATGGTATTTTCAGTAATAACTGTGGCATACTGGGTAAAAAGATAGCTCCTCCACAACCTATTTCAACAAGGGTCCCCATAGGATCATGATGTTATTTTAAGAAGGAACATATAACAGTCTCAATAGAAATTGATGGCAATCAGCATAAACTTACGAGATATTCCTCGGTTCCATAGAGACTTGTGAAATTTTCTTCTTCATGGAGTTCTCGAGCTGCCCCAAAATCTGTCAACTTGTAGATGGAGCTACAAATCAGAAATAAAACTTTTTATGTACAAGATCAGGGTTTAATTAACTGTCAAGTCAAAAATACTGAAAGTACACAATCAAATATATTATTGACAGAAAGACATACAAAGAATTGGTATTTAGTTGGTCAACAAAAACATACACACAACCGTGATATACACAAGTGGTCGCAAACTGTCCTCAACCAGCAGAGTAGACTGCGGGAGAGAGAGCGATTCAAGGTTGGAATTGTCAGTATGAATGGGACACTGACATATATTTATTCCTAATGTATATAATAGTGAGCAGTAACTGAATCCCATGGAGCCATGAAATCATTAACTGTTGTCTTTAGGGCTATGGGTGAGTGAGTTTAGTTTTAGGCCGCTTTTAGCAATATTCCAGCAATCTCATGGCGGAGGACACCAGAAATGAGCTGGTACCATTGTACCCATGTGTGAAATTGAACCCAGGTCTTCGGAGAGATGAGTGAATGCTTTAACCACTAAAGTACTGTTGGAAATGCTAGAAAATGCTTTTTGACTTATATTTAAAATTCAGAGGTATTACAGTTACTTAAATAACAAATAACACTTTAAGAAACATCTACCTAATGTAGACCGAGGGAATAAATTTTGAGACATGCCCTAAAATGTGTTTTTACTGATGAAAATACCAAAATACGTCATCAGCATGCACGGTATCGACACACTGGTGTAGCTTCTTTTGAATATATATATATATATTATTATTCTCCTAAAGTTTGTATACCGCCCGTCTAAGTACTCCCTTGTCAAAGTTGTCAAGGATGGTTGTACGTAACGGTTTTGCTTTTGAGACGGTCCCTGACTTGTCTGATTTGTTTACAATATTGTTAACTTGTTGGTAAGACATACCAACAGCTCTACAAGTTCTGTAATAAACCCTTTCTAAACTAATGAAAGGTTTACCTCTGTCTTTTTCAAGCACAAAAAAACTTATAAACCTTTGCAACAATCGACTGCAAATAGTTGGCTATAGTACACGCTGTGATAAAGATGTGCATGCCTGACGGGAAACTTATTTATCAAGAGTTAACATTTATATTAATATTTCTCCAATAAAGAAACGATAATTAAGTAAAGTAGCACAAACATTCAACATTTATTTGTTTAAGAAAAACGTTGATTCATATTTTTACACCACCTGTATTATTAGCATAAATTTAAAGATTATTTCAGATTTCTGTTGTTGAACTCTGAAAAAATCTTAAGTTGTTGTTTTGGTATCAAATTCTCTCCTGTAAACTGCCCTTTAAATGCATGGGAATGTTAAATCGATTAAAATAAAAATTAGGTACACTATAGGCAAGTTGATGTATTGACAACATAGCTAATTTATCACCTTTATAAAGATATATGGGCAAAAACGCATTTTTCTAGCATTTCCGACAGTACTTTAGGCTACCCCACCACCAATTACCTTGTCCAATTTCATTATTCAAAGACATTCAATAAACTTTTGTCATATTATAACAATCAATCATAGACTTCATGAGTGATTACCTATTGGAAACTTGATCATAAACTGATTAAATGGGTCTGCCCTTACCGACATGTTTGAGAACAAGGAGGTATTCTTCTTCTGGTAATCCGTGGACATACTGTGGCTGGTCGAGCATGTGATACAAGCTTCCATATCTCCACCACCCTACTTTAGGGCTATGACGAAAACTCCTTGATGTGCATACTTTCAAACACAAGACTGTATGTGCCTCATATGAGAGATTCCTACCTGCCCTCTTCAGTAATATCGCGCATAATGTTCCCTGGTTTGAGGTCGCGATGTATGATGCCTCGTTGTCGGAGATATTCCATATCTCCACCACCCTACTTTAGGGCTATGACGAAAACTCCTTGATGTGCATACTTTCAAACACAAGTCTTTATGTGCCTCATATGAGAGATTCCTACCTGCCCTCTTCAGTAATATAGCGCATAATGTTCCCTGGTTTGAGGTCGCGATGTATGATGCCTCATTGTCGGAGATATTCCATATCTCCACACCCTACTTTAGGGCTATGACGAAAACTCCTTGATGTGCATACTTTCAAACACAAGACTGTATGTGCCTCATATGAGAGATTCCTACCTGCCCTCTTCAGTAATATAGCGCATAATGTTCCCTGGTTTGAGGTCGTGATGTATGATGCCTCGTTGTCGGAGATATTCCATATCTCCACCACCCTACTTTAGGGCTATGACGAAAACTCCTTGATGTGCATACTTTCAAACACAAGTCTTTATGTGCCTCATTTGAGAGATTCCTACCTGCCCTCTTCAGTAATATAGCGCATAATGTTCCCTGGTTTGAGGTCGTGATGTATGATGCCTCGTTGTCGGAGATATTCCTTATCTCCACCACCCTACTTTAGGGCTATGACGAAAACTCCTTGATGTGCATACTTTCAAACACAAGACTGTATGTGCCTCATATGAGAGATTCCTACCTGCCCTCTTCAGTAATATCGCGCATAATGTTCCCTGGTTTGTGGTCGCGATGTATGATGCCTCGTTGTCGGAGATATTCCATATCTCCACACCCTACTTTAGGGCTATGACGAAAACTCCTTGATGTGCATACTTTCAAACACAAGACTGTATGTGCCTCATATGAGAGATTCCTACCTGCCCTCTTCAGTAATATAGCGCATAATGTTCCCTGGTTTGAGGTCGTGTGATGTATGATGCCTCGTTGTTGGAGATATTCCATATCTCCACACCCTACTTTTAGGGCTATGACGAAAACTCCTTGATGTGCATACTTTCAAACACAAGACTGTATGTGCCTCATATGAGAGATTCCTACCTGCCCTCTTCAGTAATATAGCATAATGTTCCCTGGTTTGAGGTCGTGATGTATGATGCCTCGTTGTCGGAGATATTCCATATCTCCACACCCTACTTTAGGGCTATGACGAAAACTCCTTGATGTGCATACTTTCAAACACAAGACTGTATGTGACTCATATGAGAGATTCCTACCTGCCCTCTTCAGTAATATAGCGCATAATGTTCCCTGGTTTGAGGTCGCGATGTATGATGCCTCATTGTCGGAGATATTCCATATCTCCACCACCCTACTTTAGGGCTATGACGAAAACTCCTTGATGTGCATACTTTCAAACACAAGACTGTATGTGACTCATATGAGAGATTCCTACCTGCCCTCTTCAGTAATATAGCGCATAATGTTCCCTGGTTTGAGGTCGCGATGTATGATGCCTCATTGTCGGAGATATTCCATATCTCCACCACCCTACTTTAGGGCTATGACGAAAACTCCTTGATGTGCATACTTTCAAACACAAGACTGTATGTGCCTCATATGAGAGATTCCTACCTGCCCTCTTCAGTAATATAGCGCATAATGTTCCCTGGTTTGAGGTCGCGATGTATGATGCCTCATTGTCGGAGATATTCCATATCTCCACCACCCTACTTTAGGGCTATGACGAAAACTCCTTGATGTGCATACTTTCAAACACAAGTCTTTATGTGCCTCATTTGAGAGATTCCTACCTGCCCTCTTCAGTAATATAGCGCATAATGTTCCCTGGTTTGAGGTCGTGATGTATGATGCCTCGTTGTCGGAGATATTCCTTATCTCCACCACCCTACTTTAGGGCTATGACGAAAACTCCTTGATGTGCATACTTTCAAACACAAGACTGTATGTGCCTCATATGAGAGATTCCTACCTGCCCTCTTCAGTAATATCGCGCATAATGTTCCCTGGTTTGAGGTCGCGATGTATGATGCCTCGTTGTCGGAGATATTCCATATCTCCACACCCTACTTTAGGGCTATGACGAAAACTCCTTGATGTGCATACTTTCAAACACAAGACTGTATGTGCCTCATATGAGAGATTCCTACCTGCCCTCTTCAGTAATATAGCGCATAATGTTCCCTGGTTTGAGGTCGTGATGTATGATGCCTCGTTGTTGGAGATATTCCATATCTCCACACCCTACTTTAGGGCTATGACGAAAACTCCTTGATGTGCATACTTTCAAACACAAGACTGTATGTGCCTCATATGAGAGATTCCTACCTGCCCTCTTCAGTAATATAGCGCATAATGTTCCCTGGTTTGAGGTCGTGATGTATGATGCCTCGTTGTCGGAGATATTCCATATCTCCACACCCTACTTTAGGGCTATGACGAAAACTCCTTGATGTGCATACTTTCAAACACAAGACTGTATGTGCCTCATATGAGAGATTCCTACCTGCCCTCTTCAGTAATATAGCATAATGTTCCCTGGTTTGAGGTCATGATGTATGATGCTCATTGTCGGAGATATTCCATATCTCCACCACCCTACTTTAGGGCTATGACGAAAACTCCTTGATGTGCATACTTTCAAACACAAGACTGTATGTGACTCATATGAGAGATTCCTACCTGCCCTCTTCAGTAATATAGCGCATAATGTTCCCTGGTTTGAGGTCGCGATGTATGATGCCTCATTGTCGGAGATATTCCATATCTCCACCACCCTACTTTAGGGCTATGACGAAAACTCCTTGATGTGCATACTTTCAAACACAAGACTGTATGTGCCTCATATGAGAGATTCCTACCTGCCCTCTTCAGTAATATAGCGCATAATGTTCCCTGGTTTGAGGTCGCGATGTATGATGCTCATTGTCGGAGATATTCCATATCTCCACCACCCTACTTTAGGGCTATGGACGAAAACTCCTTGATGTGCATACTTTCAAACACAAGACTGTATGTGCCTCATATGAGAGATTCCTACCTGCCCTCTTCAGTAATATAGCGCATAATGTTCCCTGGTTTGAGGTCGTGATGTATGATGCCTCGTTGTTCCACCACCCTACTTTAGGGCTATGACGAAAACTCCTTGATGTGCATACTTTCAAACACAAGACTGTATGTGCCTCATATATGAGAGATTCCTACCTGCCCTCTTCAGTAATATAGCATAATGTTCCCTGGTTTGAGGTCG